CCCACAAATATTTCACTAGATTCAGTATCAATCCTAATCCTCTGCCCAATATCTCCCTCTCCCAACAATTTATCTTTGAATTTTTAGTATCGTTAAAAAGCATTTCGCTTAAGAGAGGGTTCATGATAAAAAAATTTTTTGACAAGTTTAGTGATATAATCTCGTATTTATAGAGAACTTCCATCTATAGATTGATAAGCAATCCAAGGGGTTCAGTTTAAACCGGTTTATATTGATAATCTCATCTTTGAGGACCAATAGAAATTATAGTTATCCCATCGTGTAGCAGATTCAGCAGATGATAGATTGATAAAAATCATGGTTACGCACTCTGCATGATTGCGTAATCATGATAAAGCCCTTAAACCTATTTTCTAGAAAAAGCAAGGGTGAGAATTCTCTACTGGGTGTTGGTTTAGTAATCACATTTTCATTTGGGTGTTAGAATCGAAAGCTCTTCATCGTCTGTTGGCTAGGTTCTGGGTATAGTGAATAGGATACACCAAGACACCAAGACACCAAGACGCTGCGATATGATAATTTGATGACGATGAGGTTCACGGCACGGGATAATAATCTGAATCGAAACCACTACGGATTGCGAAAGTTGTCAGGTATCGAGCCCTGGTGTCGATGATGCAATTACTCGACTTTGTCATTATTCATCATTGGTAGATTAGACGGAGAGGTTGATATACTATATACATGTAAACATCCCCATATTAATATGGTCATACAGTGTATTGAACCAGATAAATGTTAATAAAACTGTTTTTCATCAGATAAATACAATAAATTTTATTCCTTGAGCGTTCCGAGATTTGATGGACTGCACGCACACCTGGTATACTAGTGACGGTGATGTTGAAAATCATCAATATGAGATCCTCATATAGTCTTATAGTCTTACTAGCTGATTTTTGGTTAAGGCAAGAGTTTCATGGTGATCAAAATTTCTCGTTACGCAAAATTCGTTATCGGGAACTTAATAATGTTCCCATCCTTTTTACCATTGTCGTTAGTTTGTATTGGACGCTTTCATGATTGTTACATGCACGCTTTGCATGCTTCAATAGTGAACTTGCTATTAAAGGCAGAGGTTTAACAAGTTCCAGTTTTATAAGACTCTGTTGCTTAAAAAGTCTTTGTTATCGCCCACGATACTTGTGTCACCCCGTAGTTCACGTGTTCGTAGATACATTTTCTTCAAATTCACTGCGACTGTTTACCCGCACTTTGCTATTATATCCCAATGTGATTGATAATCCAAATCAGTCGAATGGGAATATTTCTGAATAAGGAAGAGCCTCGATCCCGCAGCACGTCACATCATCAAAAAACTAGGTTTCATCAAATCGGCTCTTTTGTTGTCTCTTCCGTTGGATTAACCGGGCCCCATCTTGAAATCGATAAACTTGGGAGGCTATTAGAGTTTATGAGTCTCTCTGATCTTAGGATCTTTTAGACCTCAACCGCAAGAAATGTCCAAATTATCAATTCTTCTTTGTTTACTACACTTTTCCATTCTCCTATTCTTCCCCATTTCAACTACCGCTTCAAAGACTATAATCGACGTTCTATCTGATCACCCCGAATGCAAGAACACGATTCGCGCTTTACAACGGACTCAACTCATTCGGGTAATAAACCATCTTAAAGACGTTACCTTATTCTGTCCGACGAATTCTGCTTACAAAGGCGACTATGAGGACCCTACCGACGTCAGTCGCGAGCTAATGCTATATCATCTCGCCAATGCGACATTCAAAAGAGAAAAGCTGATTGGTGGCAAGTTACTTGAAACAAAGCTGGTGAAAGATAAATTGTTGGGAGAGGGAGATATTGGGCAGAGGATTAGGATTGATACTGAATCTAGTGAAATATTTGTGGGAAATGCGAGACTCGAAAGTAAAGAGGATCTGGTGGCAGTAAATGGTAATGTTCATGTAATGTGGAAAAAATTGTCACTATGGAATTGTTACGTTTCAGTGTTTTTCTAACTCAAGTTGATTTTCCTCACAGGCATGGTTCATGTGATAAGCGATCTATTGTCTCCGCCAACAAACATCTGTGCGTAATCACTGCTTATCTCTTGTTTTGTTCAATTCGTAATCACTAGATCTATAATCTGTGCTTTCTATAACCCGCATTTTTTTAACGCTCATGCACTCTTCGATTTCCCAGTTGACACTCTCCGTTTAATGGAAGGCTTATCACTCTTTTTGGACTACATTCGCTTTAACAAACTAGAGCACAAGCTAACGGCAGGACATCACTTGACAGTTTTTGCGCCGACGAACGATGCGTTTACTCGTCAATTTAAGAAACACGAGAGAGATTATCTGACTGGTATTTGCGAACCTGCGAGTACGGATTTGGGTTTTCTATTAACACATCATTTGCACGATGGAGTCAAATATTCAGAGGATGTTAGTTATGGGTCGTCGCATTGTAAGTATAAAATCATAGGAGAGGAAGCCCGACAGGGAGTGGAGAGGTGAAGAAGAGTGAAAGAACGTATATGACGAAAGAGGTGAGAGTGGGGAATGTGTGAGAGCTAGATGTGAGATGGAGAGGATGCTGAGCGATATATGCGGCAGTGGGATCAAGAATTGGTTTAACAATGTAACGTGGCAACAGTGAGTGAGATCTTTTTAGCGAAAAATGTTGGTTTAACACGCGGTGTAATTTATGTCCCACATTTAGTACCCACTTTACAGGGTGAGCCTTTGAAACTGGAGAAAACGTCTGAAGGCAATATTACTGTCGAGCACGGCATCGTCACGTTCAAAGATGTGTTGGCTGAAAACGGTTAGTATACGTACTAATGTCAGATCATATGGCAGTATTTATATTTATTCATTTACATAATACGCTGGGTGTCCCCCACGTTTGATTCTATTTTTCTCTTTTAGGCGTCATTCACATAATCAATGCAGTGTCATCCCCGGTTGCCTTACGTTTCACAATTCTCAAGTATCTCTGTGGATTAGGGGCAATTAAGTTTAAGGATAAACTTCTTTCCTTTGGTCTTCGACACTATATTGACGATCCGCCAACACCTTACACGATCCTTGCGCCGCCAGATTCTCACTTTGAACTGTCTAATGATGATGGTGAAATAAATTCTTTGCTGCTGAAATATCACATTTTCCCCGGAAAGTGGGATTTGTCCGATTTGAAGACTGGAATGTTGGTGAGAAGCGAGATGAAGACCAAGCAGCTAGGCGGGCGGAAGCAGAGGGTGAAAGTAGCAATAAATAATGTGTGGTATGATGAGGGGTCGCCGAGAGAGACGAGTCGGCTGATCAAATTTAATGATGCGACTGTTATCGGAGAACCCGGTGAGTACAACAGATTTTTAATGCATTTATTGTAGCTCGGCAATAAGACTGATATCTAATTCCTTCAATGCTAGTTGATATTGGCAATTCCATCATTTATCTTATTGACCGGGTAATGGAAAGTCCGGGCACCGTCATCGATAATTTATCACCCAATAAATATCTCTCCGCTTTCTACTCTTTTCTTAATGCAAGCGAGATACTCGAGACTATCAGTTACATTCCAAAAGTAACGGTCTTCGCCCCGAATAATACTGCATTCAGCAAACTCGGCCTCATCAAAGATTACCTCTTCCATCCTACTGGACGCAGCGATCTCCAATCGATAATGAAATACCATGTGATAAACAAGGTCTTGTATTCAGAAGAAATTTCCGAGGGCAAAACAGTTCATGAAACTATGGATGGCTCACACGTGACCATAACTAAGATGAATGGTGTGATAACACTGCGAAACAAGAACAGCACATCGCGCGTTACGGAAGTTGATACATTAATGTCGAATGGTGTATTGCATGTGACCGACTCTTTCGAAATGCCGTCTCACGTCAACATAACGATCAGAAAAATATTGCAAGGCATTGAGGCAACTACAATGTTGAAGATGTTTCACAAATCCAACTTGTCAGAAGTGCTGGATAACTCGACAGACGCATACACTGTCCTTGTACCGACCGAAGAAGCATTTGCCAACGCCAAACTCAATTTTACCAATCGCGATCGCATCGAGCGTATACTGCGTCTGCATATTATACATGAAAATATTCCTCATCTGATTGATGGAATTGAATTTCCAACACTTCATTCTGATGATGCCAGATTAATACTTAAGAGGACACTTCTTGGGGATTATAAATTTGCACTCAAGGGTCCCTGGCAGATAGAAGAGCGCGCTAGTATTCTTAACCATGGCCGTGCAACGCATGGAGGAGGCGTATACTTGATAGACAAGGTGTTGTTCCCTCATCGCGCTACCAATAGTGTAGGTAAGATGTTTGTGGGCGTGTTCATTGGACTGGTTGCTGCAGTATTTTTGGGATTGGGAGGAACATTTGGATGGCATGGATGGCGATGGTGGAGGGACTGGAGAGAGAGGGTGATGCCATTTGAAGTTCCGGATGAAGATCCAGATGAAACTACTCCGCTCATAGGATGATACTTGCAGCATAACGATAAATAGGGTCAAGTGTAAAGTGTAATATAATAAGAATATACAATAAAACTGATATCGAATGACAAAAGTATCAACGAGGTAGCAATCAGTCAGTCAGAAGTAATATTTAGAAATGATAGTTTTAGAACGGTTTGTTTAATACATAATAAGTTAGTATGATGAGACATTATCATTTGTCACACTATATAATATATTTAATAAATCGACAAAGATTGATATGAAACATGGCGGTCACAGTTTTTTTCGAACAAAATTAAATACATAATTACTTGAAATTATTATAATCGTACAAAAACGGCCATCTATAGATTCTGTTCCTGCTTCCTACCTCCAGGGCACGCATACACACCGAGATGATTCGAATTCTATCTTGTTTCTTTCTTATCTTATACTATTATACCCCGACCCGTCAGCCAACCCATCATTTTCTTTGTCCCTATCACCATCAAGCCAGTCCTTCCCGTTATACCCTGCTCCGAAATCATCATCCAACACTTCCGGATGATCATGAGCATACTTTGTAAACACTCTCTGCAAACTCTCAATCACCGGATCCCTAAACATTGTAATAGAATCGTGCTCTCTATTAATTCTCTCCATCACCTTGGTCAATTTAACTTGATTGCGAGGATGATTTAGATAATTCTCGTCATCGGCCAGAAAGTGTTGCCTCATCAACATGAGTTTCTGTTGAGTGCGAGACATGGTGGCCGACAAGGATCGATACCCGTGAACATGAGAATTCGATGATCCATCAGACGAGTATATCGGCAAATCGGGTGAATCGGAATCAAGACCATCATCGAGGCCGACCACGAATTTCTTTTTTGTTTTGGTGGGCATGGTTCTGGAGGTGGAATTTTCAGTTCGCTTGTGGTTGTGGTTGTGGTTATGGTTGTGGTTGTTATGGTTGTTGTTGTTTTGGTTTTGGTTTTGGTTTTGGTTGTGCTCTGACTCTCGCCGTTGTGTCGTCGTCAAATCTGATGATGTACCGCCGCCGCCGTTTGCTTCATGCTGTGATTGTTGTTGTTCGGTGGTTGTCTGAGTATTTGCTGATGTGTCTTTTGTCATTGTTGTATCTGGATCGGTAGCAGTTGTTGTCATCGATACTTTGCCAATGTCTGTTGTCGTATTGTGGAGAATTGGTTGCTCTACCATTATCAATAAATCAAAAAAGGGTGATTTTTTTGTCCAATTTTATGTTCTCGTGACGTCAAAATTGCCGATGTGGCGCAGATTCACTTTTAAGATACTAATACTCCACATTTGCCGAACAAAATGACAATGAGCTTTTGTTCTTTAAAAAGATAATATTACGGTTCTCTGCATCGACAGAAGAACAGCAGGCCTAGAAAATTACCGTCCCAGATCGGGTTTCCCTCCCCTTTTCTTGCGTAGAGACAACAAATTGGGGTATCACAAATTAAATTTGGTTACGCTATTATGAACGGCAGGATGATTAGAAAAAGGATTGATGTCAAATTGCATCCGGAACAAGAAATGGTAGTCGGTACCGAAAACTTTGGGACAACGGAAGGACACTCTAATAAAGCTGTCGTCGCAATCAAAACGTTACTATGTAATAAAAAAAGACCAGAGGAACAGAAACAAGTATGCCGGCTATTTAACATGTTGATCTATTACAATCGGCTTGTACATGTATACTTGGTTTACTTTTGACTCGCTACATAATTTATAGTTTCTCGGTGATATCATTCAATTTCTAGGATTAAACCAAGGTCGGCAACGCACTTCATGTTCTTTGTAAACGAACTGCACATTATAATTAATGCTCTTTATCTTGCATTCTAGTAGACGCATCCGGCAATCACTGCATGATTTTTGAATTTATGGCTGACGAAACTCTGTATAGTCATTTAGAAAAGTATTTTTATTCATCAACTCGGAAAGATAGACTTGAATTTAGTCTGAGTATTTTCGATGGATTAAGGCATCTACATGGATTATCTACGGATTCGGTATGCAACATAGTTGTCTTGTTTTCTCTTAACTGTCGCAGACAAAAGATGGTGTTTTGGTACTAATTTTGCTCTATTCGTTGCTAGCACTCTGATCAACTTCTCATTTACAGAGGCATTGCTGACCCTGGATTATCAAATATAATTGTCCATTTGGAATCAATTCCACATAATAGAGGAAATATTGCATGCACGGATCCATTACTATTTACTAAATTATCGCAAAATCATAAGAAAAGACCCACGGCAAAACTACCATGGAAAGTACCAACAACTTCAAATATAGATGGGTTCCAGCTGAGTGCGCCTCGTGATAAAATGGCTTTTGAAAAATCGGTCGCGTTAGAGTGTCAGAGTGAAGATTCTGAATGCCTGCTACTCACTAGTGATGTTTATCAAAAGTTGAAGTTATTGCTCAAGCAAGTGAAAATACGGGGTCGAGCTCAGTTCTTGTTATTTAAACAAAATGAGAATGCGTTGAACGATTTAGTAGGAACTGAGACGAATGACATGTTTGGTTTGAGTAAAAGTGACGACATTTATTGGATGATTGGGCAATATTCTGATGCCTTGTATTATCTTAACAAATCGCTAGAGACTAATCCAAATGATTCACGGACACTTAGCAGGAGAGGAGCCATCTATTTCGATGCTAAACTGTATCAACAAGCATTATGTGATTTTAATAAATCATTAGAACTGGAACCCAACAGCGCATTTGCATTGAGTAGGAGGGGTGCCATTTACTATGTATTCAAAAAGTATGATGATGCATTGATTGATCTTAACAAGTCATTAGACATTGAACCAAATAATGCATGGGTATTAAACAGAAGAGGATATGTCTACTGCATGCTCAAAAACTATGACAGAGCATTGAGTGATTTCAAAAAAGTGTCAGAGATTGAACCGCATGACAAAGCTATTTTTAGAGCAAGAGGTATTGCTTATTGCAAACTTAAACAGTATGCAAACGCATTGAAGGATTTCAACAAATTATTAGAGCTTGACCCAAATGATGCATTTGCATTGAGCAGAAGAGGTAGACTCTTTTGCATGCTTGATTCGCATGACAATGCATTGAACGATCTTGACAGATCATTAGAGATTGAACCAAACGATGCTTGGGCACTGAGAGCACGGGGCGAAGTCTATCGTTCGCTCTATGATTACGATAACGCGCTAGTAGATTTTGACAAATCATTGGAAATCGAACCAGATCAAGCGTGGACGTTGAGCCGAAGAGGCGACGTTTATTACAGTCTTGATAAATATGATGAAGCGATGAGGGATTTTAACAGTTCGCTAAAGATTAAGCCAAACCAAGTCTGGGCTTTGAGCAAAAGGGGACATCTCCATTACTGGCTTGAACAACATGAAGATGCATTAGTTGATCTCACAAAGTCGTTGGAAATAGAACCTAATAATGCATGGGTGTTGAGAACAAGAGGAGCAGTCTATTTTAATTACAAGTTACATCACAATAATATATCGCGACGAACGTTTCTTAATACTGCTTTTAGTGCCGCTCTGAGAGATTTCAGCAAATCACTGGCCATTGAACCTGACGATGCATGGACATTAAGTAAACGGGGTGAAGTTTATTGCGCGTTTAAACAATTTTATAATGCTATTAACGATTTCAATAGATCGCTGGAGCTCGAACCTAACGATGCGTCCACGTGGAGTCGAAGGGGGGAAGTTTACTATACGTGTGATGACTATGACAATGCATTGAATGATTTTAATAGATCACTAGAGATTGAACCGAATGACGCATTTGCGTGGAAGAAAAGAGGAGATGTGTATTGTACTCTTGAAAAATACGAAAATGCATTAGACGATTTCAACAAGTCTTTGGCGCTTGAACCGCAAGATACATTTTCGTTAAAGAGAAGAGGGAACGTCTACTACTGGCTCGATCAGTACGATGAAGCATTAATCGATCTTAACAAATCATTAGAGCTTGAATCGAACGATGCATGGGCACTAAAGAAACGAGGAGAAGTCTATCGCATGCTCAAGAAATATGACAAGGCGCTAGACGACTTTACGAAATCGTTGGATCTAAGTCCAAACAATGCATGGACGTTGAGTAGACGGGGCGAGGTCTATCGGATGATGACAAGGTACGAAGACGCGCTGAAAGATCTTGACAAGTCTCTGTCCATTGAACCGACTGACGCATGGGCGCTGAGTTGCAGAGGATCCGTTTATTACTGGCTTGAACAATATGACAACGCATTGAGCGATATCAACAAGTCTTTAGAGATTGAACCTGATCATGATAACGGATGGTCATATGGGGCAAGAGGAGACGTTTACTGCAAGCTCAATGAATACGAGAACGCATTGATCGATCTGAATAAATCGTTGGACCTCAGACCGACTAACGCGTCCGCGTTGAGTCGAAGGGGTTTTGTTTATTACAAGCTTAATCAATACGAGAATGCATTGAATGATCTCAATTTATCTTTGGAACTCGAACCAAATGATGCATGGACACTGAGTATAAGGGAAGAAGTTTGCGATGCCATCAACCAGGTAAGGCAGGACGATAAAAATTAGCTGTTTTGTAAGTTGGTAGCGTGGATTGATATCGTGCATTGCATGTAGGATTTAATCGAACATTTACTGCATTACTGCGTATGAATAATGTATTTGGATCAAAGTTCACGATTAGTTTTAGATACTCAAACGATTATTTAAATAAATATTATTTTGGTATATATTGTTAGGGTTTCGGCATATTAATATAGGCTATAAATCGATTAATATATTATCGCATATTACGTAGGCTATTTGATTGTTAAAATATACTTGGCGATTGTAATTGAATAACATTGTGAATGTCATATTAAATGTAGTTTATTACTATACGATTTTTAATGTAAACCAGTTACAATTTCAAAGGTTCCATGATACAACGATTTTTACAATTACAATCGCCTTAATAACCGTACCTAGTTTTCAATGTGTTAAAATGTACTCTTGTTAACCTTTGAAAAAAAAATTTATATTGTCTAGCTGCACGTTCAAATAGTTTGTTTCTGTAAACATTACTAACTTATTGGGAACTTCTGACGCGATAAAAATCAAGAATAAGCTTATGAAAAGGTATGATTGAGCTGAACTAAGTTGAGCTATTGCGACTAGTCCTGGCACTGATTAATTGAAGACGAGTGTGTTGAGCGCATTACAAGTATATGAAAATATGAAGTGATCTTGAAATTTTGGTGTTCATCATTTAGGACTGTTTCGGAAAGTTATTATCATGAGACCAATCGTATATAACATGCGCGAACGGATGGCAATTTACAATGTATACCTGTTAGCTTTGCGTTGTGCAACAGTCGTGCTACAATAACTTCAGGCTGAGCAACGGCTTTACCCAAAGATAAAATGAGTTATACCCAAGCTCAGTCTTGGAAGACATTGATGCACGCCAAATAATAAGTGAACGGAATTGGCAATTTACGACGTCAGTTTTGGCTTATATTTCTCAATTTAGTAACGCGTAATTAGCTAGTCGTGGATGAAAGTGCCTCACGACTGTGTCAATTTCAGGTCATGTTAGGTACCGTACCGCATGCATAGTAAACTGTAAAAGTTTTTTAGCAAGGCGATCGGTTAATGTTTAGATTAGCCCTGCCCGATAGCTAGTGACGATAAATTCTTGAATGTGTAATAAACGTAATTTTCGCATGGTGATTTACCAACTTTATTGGATAAATTTCGCTGCAACATTACACGACTAGTTAACATGCTGTCACAATAATTCATCTCGCCATCTAAGGCTTTTAATAGACGCCACATGCTGCTGCCTAGTAATTACTGCTGACGATTTACACACTCAAAAACGATTAACTTTAAATTTGATGCAGAGTTTTTCTCGATCATTCCATTCGAGAAACTCCAAAACTCGCTATGTAATAATTCTAACAAATATAGGCATTTGTTAAAAGCATGAGGTAAGTTTAACAGTTTTCTGCAAATTCCAACTTGCACGGTGGTACTTTATACAAGATCCTGCGTGGCTGTATTGTTCAGAATAAATAATAGGCTTAACAAGATTATTCAAAATCAATGTACGCAATTTGCTGTATTCATTACCTGCGGCTGAATCCAAACCATAGCTATTTTTCGGTTTAGGCAAATTTCCTACAGGTAAAACCTTGCTAGAGTATTTACTTTCCTTTTCGAGACGTGACAACGCTCTTACTTCAGTATAGTAGATGGTATTCCATATATTATTTCCAGGCCCATTTGCTTCTTTAATAAGTTCAGAAAGCCGCATAAAAAGAGTCCATTCCGACGGACGCCTGTCAGGATCAGCATCACAACACGTCGCAGCAAGTTTCTTGTATGCCTCTGGTGCTGAATCAGGCATTGCTGGTCGTAGTCCGTCCATTATACCACATACTAAATATCTATCGAATGATCTATTTCTGAAAGGTGGCTCACCACTGGCAACCAAGTACATAATAATGCCAAATGCATATATGT